TATATATATATATATATATGCATGTATTTCTGACGAAGATATAATCGAAACCGGTTAAATACGTTCTCATTCATACCTTTCCACATTTGTCAACATGAATACGGTTCATGTATATATTTATATCAAGATTTTAGATTTAATTGTTGATATGCGGTAGAGCCAGGACGCTAATTTACAACATGACTTACTATGCATAATTCACGCATAGTAAGTACATTTTTGTATAGTTTATAAAAAAGATAATAATATATAAAACATTGTGTTAGTATACAATCGATTGTCCTTTTTGTCAGTGTGGATAGTATTGGCACATTCCAAAGGGTGGGTCTCAAAGAGTACATTTTGCATTCTATAGTGGGTTAATGTATGAAATAGACACTTAGGAACTGCTGTTCTTGATTCACGATGATCTATTGAACAGTTTGAGGACGATTTGAAAGATCTACTCAAATTGTGAATTAACACTCGCCTTGCCAGGGATGGGGTCAATGAGTACATTTTGCTTTCTTAAGTGGGTCAATACATGAAATGGATACTTAAGAATGACTGATCTTGATTTAGGATGATCTAAGGAATACATTGCCATATGTTTCATGGATGTACTCAGATTGTGAATTAAAAGTGCTAATTAGTGTTAATTAGGTTGTTCTTAAGCGACCTAATACACAAATTGAAAACTTAAGAATTGGGAATTCTCATTTCTACACATACAGAGAACATTTTAAGACAAGTTTGAAAGATGTACTCAAATTGTAAATTAAGAGTCACATTTAAGGGGTCTTTAGTGCCCCCCCCCCCTGGTTGCTGTGCAGAATTGCAGAACTTAAGAACTGCCTTTTTGGGTCTTCTATCATCGATGCATACATTCCAGGCCTCAAACCTTTTGTACTCGAGATGCGAAACAAATGTCTCTGGGCTTCCGGACTAATATGGGTTAAGGGTTGGAGCAGTTATTTGACATGTCTGTATGAATAAGCGAACGGTTACCGCGGCAATTGAAAGTAAAATCATTTTTTTTAAAGAACACAACAATATGTATAAATTCACAGAATACAAATGAAGACGCAAGCAATAACGATGTAACTACCAATAAACATAACATATAAAGAGAAAGAAACGATAATTGTAAATTCACAACAATAAACAAATAATATACACAGAAAATCCGAACATTACAATAATTTAATAAATTGAGGTTATTTGCTCTCAGAAAAAATAGTACACTTAACTGCAATGTAAGGACGACAATAATGATGGGAAAACACAAATAATAACAATATCATATCAAAGAATGTTTAGGGCAGAGGAATGAGGTGTGATTTGAGGGTATGTATCACGTGATACCATTGTCCATATTGGTCACGGTATGTGTGATTTTGTTTTGTGTTGTAAAACAATGATTTCAGAGAAAAAAATTGTAATAGAGTTGGAAGTGTGTGTGTTAAGAAAGGCAACTTATATGTAAGGTGTGGCCGGGGCAACTTATATGTAAGGTGTGGCCGGGTTTAGGAACTGCAATAGATAATCCAGCACTGAAGAGGTACATTTAATTTTAATTAAGGCCGTCGTCAGGCGGCCCTCAGGGCCAGATCCTTTTTCGGTGGGAAACGCTTTTTTCGAATAGGAAACGCCCATTTTCCCCTTAAACTTTCATGTTAATATAAACTGTTACTCGAACTTATAATCAAGAACTTGCAATAAAGAATGTTACTAATATCACACAACTTCAAAAATATTGCTATTATGGCAGAAGATTGATGACATTTTTTGAGCCACTTCCTTGTTTTTATTTCATCGGTAATAGCAAAATCTTGTTAGCGTTAACTGCTGTAACGGGTTGTTGCCCCGACTACCCCCCCCCCTGTCGGCGGTCCTGCTTTTAAGAGTAGCGAGGAAGTATCGATGGTGTAAGGGAGAACTGCGACATTATGGATATGCTGACGAGGGCTCGCGAAGACTTAACGAGGCAGATGAGCTGGATTGGCGAGTGCGGCAGCATAGAGTATGAGGATGCATCTTCAGCGCCTTCGTCGGGAGGGTAGCGCAGGCGTGAGTAGTCAGAACGAAGTAGTGGGGCAGACATGGTGTGGTGTGGGTAGTCGTAGATCAGAAGAGGACTTGGCAGCAATGACTGGGCATTAAGGGAGGGGAGGAGGCGCTTCGGCAGGAGCTTAGCTTGGTAACAGGAACATCTGGAGTTCTTCCACTGCTGGCCGCCAGATGTAATAAAGTTAGGGGGTAGAGCAGGTGGAATGAAAAGGTTCATGGCTAGAGTGTTTATTAGGGAAGGTGTATGTGAAACACCACGAAAGACCTGTGCTCTGGGTGCGCAGGCGGGAGTGGTGACAAGCGAGACTGTCGTCAGGCCCTGTCTCTCCCTGCTCTGTTCTGCATCTCCTTTTGCTGTCTGAAAAGACGTCCTCTTATGCAGCTATTCCTTGCAAGGGCCTTTGCTTGTTTAGCCTGTAGAAATGTCAAAAGAGAAAGTAGAGTGAACAGCTGCGTCCGCTGGAGAAGGAAGGCAGCATCTGGGGCCTAGATGCGACAGAGGGAACTATTCGGCCTAAGCAAGATTTATATTGGCTTTGAGCATATCGTTGGCACTGCCTCTACAAGGCCCCCACGAGCCAAATTCCAAGAGAGTTGCTGTGAGCTTCATATGTCACCCTTAAGGCAAAGGGCAGAATGGCACGATTATGCAACTCCTACTCTCACCTTACAAGTTGACTGATACTTTATTTTTTACCTCCACGACTGGCACCTACAGCAAAAACACAGAATGCACGATTTAAATATCAGTGCATTATGACCAAGGCTAAATGAAACCCTTACTAATGGTGAACTTTAAAATTCTGCTATCTCTTGTTCTGAAACCATTTTTTTTCAGGTATGGAGATGGGGCAGGTCTTACTATACAGAAAATAGTTTGCACAGTACCCTTTGTAAAATGAGGTTGGCTGGCATATTCACTTGTTTACCAGAGAAATAAAAAGTATCTTTCATTGATTTCCAATTGTCCATAAAACGATGGATACAGAAAAAATTCATGGGATGAAAACATGGCGAGGTATCACAGAAATGCATCCATCTCCAAAATACCAAATATTACATTGTCAGCTAATTCTCTAAAGCCATTTGCTTATAGTCTAAGTCTTACTGCAATGGCAATTTATAACACAGAGCAAAATCGCCAGTTCGGTACAAAAACAAGTTCCGTTCAATCAACGCCTTTCTCCTCTTTCTCAAGGTAGTTTGACACAGGTGGCCCAACTCTGTCTTGATGAAAATGCAAGTTGGCAACCCCTGAGCGAAACCCAGCATTTTTGTGCGTATTCATTGCAAATCCTGATTTTTTTCCTTAGTTTCGCTTGTGAATATCTTTCTACCATTGTTATATCTGAACCATTTTTAAAGAAAATAAATTGATAAAACACTTACCATGAAATATCACTGTGAGATATCAGATATAGCCAGATACTTGATTATTTGTGTAATATACAAGATATTATTATAATTACCAGAAGAACAAATTCTATCCTTTTTTGTGATTACGATTTTCTTACCAAGAACAGCTATCAGAATACTCTTGTGAAAGAATCAATTTTGATATATGGGTTCATCAGGCTACTTGGCAGTGGAGCTACCTGGTTATATGATCCTTGCTTGTTCTCCTAATCTCAGTCCACACATACCCTGTGTATCGACACTGCAATCATTATGAAAACATGCATCTGAAAAACTTGCCATTATGGGGAGAATTATGTAATTCCGTAATTTGCAGAAAATTGAGTCAGTAATCTACGACAGGCAGTGCTGTAAAAGTAGTTAATACACATTTATATTTATATGGCCAGTGAAAAAAATGATAAAACATTTTATGGAAAGGGTTGCTATTTTCAGCTGAAACCTCCCCGACCCTGAGAACAGATACAGTAGTAAGAATACACGAGCACCCAGAAAATTGTATGATAATTGTTACAGAAAAAAAAGATAATCTTCCGCTCTACTTGAGGTTCAAACTACGGAAAACTTGGGCATTATCTCCTTTCCCGCATGCATGGAACACTAATATTCTGTGTGCGCGCGCGCGCGCGTGTATATGTATTTATATATATGTATATATATACATATATATAAATACATATACACGCGCGCGCGCGCGCTCACAGAATATTAGTGTTCCATGCATCGTAATAACTTCGTATAGCATACATTATACGAAGTTGTACGACACACACACCCCCCCACACACGTGGTGTATGTACACATTTCTTTATACATATACATATTTACATATATACACGCATATATAAGTATTATGCATATGCATATGTATTATGTATATGTATATATATATATGTATGTATATATATGTATATATACACACATCCATATATATATGTATATATATACATACATACAAACATATATATATATACACATATAT